GTAAGGAAGCGTTCCCTCCATAATTTTAAGTAGATATGTTTTGGACATCGCTCACTAGGTCGCCATGGTTGTCCGTAAATACATTCACACTGGTCTTTAAACCATTCCAAGTCGGCCAGAATTTCAAGCTCTTCGTACCCTTGTATTTCGGCCTCCCTTTTATTACGGAAAATACATATGTACGTATCGCTCAGATGTGAGGCTTTGATTGCAACTTTACGGTCTTTTGTTCTAGAGGCCGCCATGTAGTCTGATGAATTATTTTAATGGGAGAAGTTTCGAAACTAGAAAACTAGGTGTTTAGCAGCGTAAGTGAAAGGAGCTCGTCGTCAGTAGTGGTAAAGCGGACAAAAAACCTACAAAATCCTAAAAAAAAAAAAAAAAACACTAATCTAATTGTGTGAAAGCCTAAAAAGCCCACCATCACCGAACTGATTGTGGCTTATCAGAGCGGCTTTAGATCTGTCAAATCTACCACAAACCACACTGAGAAAATGATACACGTAAAACGCAAGTTTCTAAAAGACATTGTAAAACAAATTTTTTTATATCATTTTACTTCATACAAAATAAAAAATGCAGTATTTGTATTTTCGACTAAACATTTGCAAAAAAAAAACGAACGCTATAATATATTTTGTAAAATGAGACATTTTAGAATATTGTTCCAACGAATTGTAGTGCGACACAATTTTCAAAACAAGTAAAATAAAACGTGACACTTTTAAAATAAAAACGTTTTGATTTCGAATTCAAAAGCTACATAGTTATAATGAAAAATATTTCACATGTTTGCATCATTTGTCGAAAAAATTGTATGCAGATGAAAAAAACTACATACTTCAATTTTCAGAAAAGGCGATAAAGTAAATACATATATTACCACCATTCTAACCACCTAAATAAAAGGGACATTGAAGATAAAATAAAAAATAAATTCCTGTGGGTTATTACATAAAAGTTTAAAATTTTCTGTTTATTATTTGCAGGATCTGACCAGGGCGAAGCAAAATCACAGGCACAGCTTGAAAGAAAGGCAAGAATATCTGTATGTATTTACGTATGTATGTATAAGTTTAATATCCATATTTTCTTTGTTAAATTTTGTAAATTGTTTATAAGTATCAATCACTTTTTGACAATGTACATATATACCGAATGATTAGTAGTGATTTAATAAAAATACAATTTTAATATCATATTTGAGAACGCATATTTTTTAAACGAAGAAGAAATATTTTGGAATCTAATTTGAACATGAGCATTTTCAATAATGAAATGATCGTTTTTAAAAACGGTTTGAAAATGTGCGTATCAAAAACAAAAACCTAGATTTTAGAAATTGAATTGAATATTTTTGTTCTCAAAACTTAAATAAATATTGTAGGTGCAAAACCTGGTTCAAAACGTTTTTAAAAACAAAACGTTCCATACAAATTTGAAAACGAAAATATCTCTGTGTACCTTTAGCTGTTAAAGTTGAGTTTGGTTTTATAAACAGGGGGCAACCCTTCATGTAGGTAATAAGACTCTTTAAATCCCATTTCTATTCATACCCATATTGTAATAATTGATTTAACTTTTTAAATAATTTTAACTACATTTTTTAAAAGGTGGCAACTCTTTTCTACAAAGGAAAACCCTATTCCACATCTACAGTCCAAGCCTTTTATTTACAGGTCATCTTTGAAATTCGAACGAATGGTGCAGATCTGATGACCTGGACAAAATATTATATATTTATACATAGATATACATACATACATTGCTTTTATCGTCAGTTTTAATTTGCCCCTATCAAAACGCGCAATTCAATTAAAGGAACATAATTGGGCGGAATTTAATTTTGTTTGGGAGAAAAACATGATAATTTCTGAACAATAATGGAATTTTATTTTTCTGTAACCTGTATTGGGAAAACCTTCAACCGATCTTTCTGAAGCAAAATACTTGAGAATGCGTTTTAGTCGAACTATGCCTGTGGTGCATGGTTTTCAGTTAATGTGTAATTAGCTCAACCGAATAGCAAACATTAAAGAGCCAACAACCATTACAAATCGGGCTAATGTGCTTATTGCATTTAATTGTTGCGAAGCAAATACAATAACAACAAAAACAAAACAAAAATACTTGCTATAAACAACGTAAACACTCATAATACTTACTACAAAATAGTCCATATAAACAGCAACAATAAGATGGTAAGCTGATAGTGCCGCAAAATAATGCCATTTACAAGTGGAAGAACAACAATAACAACCAAAAGCAGCAGCACTCAATCTAAGTGAAAAGAACCAAATAGCCCGAACAGAGGTATCGCGCAACGGACGGACCAACCGTGTAGCGACTACATATGTACATATGTATGTACATACGTATTTAGTGGCCAGTCGCATTGTGCTTGCAAAATCAGGCGATCAGCGAAGCGTAGAAATGCAGTGTTTGTTGTGCAGCAGGTGCATTTGGTAATTTTCTTAAAGTCAGATTTTGTTAAGAACGCGCTACTCGCGCTTCGCCTGCCAAGCAAACACCATTCGCACTCGCATTCGCATTAGCAATGTAAAGCGGGCGAGCAACAATCATCAACAGCACCACCATCAACAACATTATCACCAGCGGGAATAGCAGCAGCAGCAGCAGCAGCAGAAAAGCAGCGAAGAAAGGCAACACCGTACCGGGCAATGCTGACAACACAAGCAGCGCAACGGCACATCATCATCATTACATTAACACCACCATCACCACCACCCTACAACACTTGCGGTGCGCTGGTCACCGCATAGCATACTGCTGTTATTGTTGTTGTTGTTGTTGTGCTGGTTGGACAACTGCTGCGATTTTTCTAGCAGTTGTTGCTGCTCGAACGGAAACTGCAGTTAATTTCATGGTTTTATGAGATTTCAGGCAACGAAGCGAATCCAGTAGCGAGGAAAGATAAGAATGTACATTCGAGTGGTCCAAAAACAGTAAAGTCGGAATTGTAATGCTCTCATCACCTCCTAGGATTGTTCTATATCGAAAAAAAGTACACCCCTATTTTTTATTTCGAAATCAAAAAATATTTAGAGGTCGCTCAAAGCGCTCAAAGTTGTCCATGTATATTTATATGGGAAAAATACAATTTTTCGTATAAATGGTATAGAAGTCTTGAAAATCAATATTTTTCGATCGGAAAACCCTGGTTCTCTTCAGGATACTTTCAATAATAATACTCAATTGTTTATTTAACCATTTTTTAACACTAACGATTTTTTATTGGTCACCCCATTGCATTTATCGAGGTTTTTGTGGATTTTTGGCGGACCTATAATTTATAGTTGCGATAAAAATATGGTTAAATAAACAATTGGGTATTATTATTGGGAACCTCCTGCAGATAAACAGAGTTTTCTGGTAGAAAAATATTGATTTTTAACTATTATTATTATTAACTTAGCGCTTTGGGCGCCCTTTAAATATTTTTTGATTTCAAAATAAAAAAACAAGGGTATACTTTTTTCGGTATACAACAACCCTAGGGAGTGAGAGCATTACTATTCCGACTTTACAAAACAGCGAATGCATCATTTTTCTTGGCAACTTGCAACTCGGGAGTTTCGCTTCCGCTTCGATTTACTGTTGCAATACATACTGGCTGACTGGCTTTGCCTTTGCTGCCGGTTATTTGATTATTCTAGTTACTCGCTCACTCGCTGAATGATGTAATCAAATGAATTAAGTAAAACATAAATAATTAACTTTGAAAGAAACACGAAAACTATTGCCATGAGCAAATGAGTATTTTTAAGTAATCAGCAGAAAATGCCACAATTGTGTGGCACATCTGGGGAAATAAGTTTTTATATAGCTGTAGATGAATTGGGAAGATTTAAAACGGAATCAAACATTACCAGAAAATTCCATACGTTGCAACTGGAAGGCCTTAAGTCCCAGAATAACAGGAAAAATTTATACAACACAGCCAATGCAATTTAAACAACTATGTATATAGACATATAGGATTTATCAGAAAAAAGTTCCAGCGATGCTAAGATTTAAGAAAAAATCTATAATTTCACGCTGAGAGTTCCTGAGGTACTATATTAAACTGGATTAGGTTGTAGTGGCTACTTTCACTCGAAGGTTCCATTGTGGTACAGCTTTGACTATTTGACGAACGTTTTCGAAGTGATAGAACCACTTAGTTTTTCTTACAAAGCGATACAAATTGTAATTTGTTGGTGAAAATTACACCGCATAAATTTCGAAAATACCGGACAATGGCAAAATAAGTGTTTACTTGACGGCTGCGATTTCCTTTTCGTCTTGACAACTTCGATAAAAGACGTTCGCTGAAAAGTCCACACAACTGGCGTGTATTCCTATAACACAATGCTCAGTAATGATTCCCACAACCATGCTGAGATGAGAGCGTTCCAAGTGAATGAGTGCGCTGGAACTATCTTATATTACCTTTTCACCAAGTCTTAACTGCAGTTTATGGTTATTGGAAAACGGAGATTACAGCTCGAAGGGAGTAATAGTAATTTCTCATATTTAGTACAAGCAAATTAAAATCAAAACTAAACCCTGCCGATTACCCCATGTTAAAATTCTTAGAACTTACCTCGGGTCTTGACTGCAGTTAAGCTTTTGGTGAAAATAGGTTATTCGTCCGAGTCAGATTTAACGTGCTACCTTACAAAATGGTTCTGATTTTTTTTTTGCAATTAGTCGTATTGTATTATTTGCAAGCTCAGCGTGGCAGATTATATCAATTTCTAGCATATCTGCTCCCTAATGAAGTAGGCGAGGAAGTTTGAATATGTACATATAAATACATAACTTCATACATATGTAAATAGTAGATTCCCTTTAAACAATTTTTAAGTGCTAGGAATTTACGACTCTTTCCTTTCGTTATATTTAAATATGATTCTGAGACCGATCAACCAGACTGACTTATGTATTTCGGACTCTTTTGGTGTCATAAATTCTGAGCTGAACAAAAGTAACAAAGTTCTCGGAGAAGTAAAAGTTTATTATTAATCAGAATTATGAAGAACATTTGTTTTTAACAGTCAGAAAAGCGTCATACCTCAGATTCTAATATGACTACTAACTCGGACTCGTATTGGCGTGCATCAAGGGAAAATAGGCTATGTTTTCTGATTCTTTTTTGAGCTCATAAAGAGGGTTACAATTCAATATTCTCAGACTTTTTTTGACTCTAAAATAAGTCCGAACGTTTATATGAGGGATTGCACTGAAAAGAATATCGTGGTAGCAATTTCAATTCATGAGTATTTTTGATGATGAATAAACGATTAACGAGTATTTAATTTAAATAGAAGACGTATTTTGTTTTCATTGCTTTCGTAGATACGTTTTCAATTTGATTACCACCCTCAAACTCTCCATGCAAAATGGTGCTTGTTATCTTTCTAATCACTAAGAAAGTTGATAACACATAACTATGCACTATGGTCTAAATGCGTGTTTTTCTAATCAAAACTAATTACGGCAAAATATTTTTTTTATTTTTTTTTTATTGATTGGCATATGATTTCCCACAATTTTGTTTGTAGCAGCCAGATGCATCGTCGAGATAGATATAGAAAAATGTATGAAAAGAGAAGTCGTTTACACGATAACTCCAGAAAAAATTGAGATATGTCAACGAAAATTTGGTAAGTAGGTTACCCTTTAACCAAGGTAGGATGGTATTTGCCTTTATCAATCCCCACCAAACTCGGTGCGAGCATCTCACAAAGAAACCTGTTGAAACCAGGCAAGGACCACACCTACCTTCCATATAACGGTAATTACAAAAATACGAAAACTACGATAAATTACTAACTAATTCACTCGCACATATTTTTACCTACTCTACCAATGTTTAACTGGGAAAGTGTGAATATCCATAATATGTCTTTCATAGTGATAATTTATTATTACAGAGTTGCATTTCGAGATGAGCTTTTACCAATTTATTACTAAATTTTTTTTTCTTTTGCTATTTTTCACTTTTTTAATTATTTTTGACCATTGGATTGCAGTTATTGCATCGTCGTAGCCAATTGGCTGGCTAACTGAGCACCTTTTTCGGTTGGTATTCATAAATTAAGCGTGGCTAGACAGCCAGTTATGTAGACACCGGCAAGCAATTCAGCCAGTAAAAGCAAAAATGAAAAAAAAAAAAAAANGATAAAGACACAGAAAAATGCCAATGCAGTGAAACTTCTAAAAGTCGCACCCTGCTCGCGCCTTATGGCGACTCAAAGGAAATTTTATTAATTTACCATTTGATTGTTTGGCGCGTTTGTCTGATCGGTGGCTTGCCATTGCTTGGCTTGTTCGTTTTGGTAATCAACTTGGAAGACGAAAAATGCGCAGAAGCGTCCACAAAATAATGCACTCATAGAAAAAGATAGTCAACAAAAGCGCATACTGCACGAGACAGGCGCTTGCTGGTGTGAATTGTTGGCACGTATGACACCTTTGTGCTGTATGAATTATTCGAGCGACACAAATATGGCAAACAAAATTACAAATAAAAAGCAAAAATTGTGGCAAAAATATTTTATGAATAAAAAATAAAAGTGCATTTCTGGCAGAAGCGTAGAGATAGGTGTGTTGCTGACTGTGTACCTGAGTTGGCCCTTTCACGGCGTTTGTATGCACATATGTACCATACATATGTATGTATAATATGTATAATGGACTCGCATGTTTACTACATAAAATAGACAAATGTAGTGAACGACAACAAATGCATATTAATGCCCATATTGCTGTGCGTGTCAAAAATGTTGCACAGTTCCAAAAGTTCATATAAGTATGCATGACATGAATTCCACAACAAATTATGTATGTATATACATGCATGCATGTATGTATATACATGCTGCCTGATGCACATCTTACGAACATTTGTGTTCAGTAAATTTTGGTTGCAAATTTGATGCCGCCAAATGTCAGCAACAACAGCAGTAGAAGGTGGATTACTATGCTTGTAGCTGCCTACTTCGAGTATTTTACGATTGCAGATGGTGATTGGCTGTTTCTCCTTTAATGTGCGCTACACCACCAAATGATGCACCAACGACTTTGAACTTTAACGGCGCGCATGCGCATCAGCATGCTGTGCGGCATACAAACATAAACACATGTATATACAGTGACTTAAGCAATTGTTCATATGTTGATTTTTTTTTTAATATTCATTGATTTTTTTTCGACATACGTATACAAATATTGTCCATGCATTAACCATTATATATTAAAGTTTCGAACCTCATACGAAATTTAGAAACTTTCAAAAAAATGTCGAACATGTTAATTTTTTGCTTTTTTTTCATATGATTGAAATTATATAATGCAATTTGTATAAACCGGCGTTGATTTTTTTTTTTGTTGCGCATTTCAATTCATTTCATAGCAAAAACCGGTTAGCAAAAAAAAAAATTAAAATCAACACGATTAGCCGGTTGATTATGATAGTAAATTTTATGGGCTAGAAAACTGCATGCTAAACTGCATTTTCTAAAAATTCCGATTAAAAAGTTCTAAAATTTGGATTAATTTTTGAAATTTTTTATAAAGTTTGAAATTTGGTTTACATGGCTTTGGTTAAAGCATGAACATTTTTTTTTTTTATGAAAACGAGTAAATTTTTTTTTAATTGAATAACATTTGGAATATTTAAAAAAATCAACTTGTGAACACTTGTTTGAGTTACTGTATGTACTCAAATTTTTAAACCATTTCCATGCGCTTGTTTGCAATGCTAGCGCATTTCGATATTTGCATCCAATTTATTTATATTTTTATTTCCACTTTTTTACGACTCAGATTTGGTAGATTTTGAGCCTATAAATTAAAGCAATAATAAGCGCGCCTGTTAGCGCATATACGCACAGCGGGTAAGGCATGCGAATTGCCAGCTTATTTGTATCTGTAGTTTGAGCTTCCTTAACGCCCCCCATGAAGATTGTGTTTGTTGTTACAGTTGTAGCACTGACAGCTTCTTTATAGCTTTAAGCGCGCTTTAGACAGTTAACACAACTGCATTTTTTCACCTTCTCATAGCTTTATTCGCTTTTTTAACTCCAAACATATATGTAACTAACTCATAAATAAGAAACAGTTATCTTGCAACACATTCGCATCAACGCACTTGCACTTACATGTGTTCAACTGTGTTCGCAATTAACAAAATAAAACTACATTACTCTTGTGCTATAATTTACTTTTTAGTAATTCAGTTAACATACATTTCATTTCTAGCTTAATAAAAAGCATAAAATTTCTTATCTTCAAAAAATAATTCCAACAAAATTCTTTTACGAGGCTGCGAACANTATGTTAAAAATATAAATATATTAAAAAATGCTTCCCTTTCGCTATATTCTTCATTTATAACTGATAAATTTTACAAATATTTGATAAAGTTTATTAAACACCACTAGGAAATGATTGGCCTAGGTCTTCAAAATTTATAGAAATAAGCCGACTTAGCGTGGCTTCTATAAGTAACTTTTTTCTTCGAAGCCCCTTGAATCACTTTTGGAAGCAAATAATAATCAGAAAGGTTTGTTAAAATTTGGATTATAGAAAAGGTGTTTACTGTTAGGAAAACGACCATTTTCAATACCGACTCTTGGCTTCCCGTTCACTAGGCAAAGTAAACAACCCACGCGAAAGTTGGAATAGTCAACACGGATTGAGCTTTCGGTAACGACAGAAAGCGAGCCAACCCGGATTTTCGTCTTAAGGGTTCACTGAAGTCAGCAGCATCTTTTTACTATTAGGTGCGGCTGCAATCGGGCATTAATCTAAAAAAAAAAACGGCTCGTATCTTAACAAAATTCTCCCAGTAATGGGTTGCCGACTATGGCAAACGGAACAAGGACTACAATTCACGGATTTGCACCTGCTTTATAGGGAAGAGGCCACTATACATTCCTACCAACAGCTGGGTGTCATAGAAAAATCAGGGACCGAAAATAAGAGTTATTTTTTCCGATATTATAAAAGTTCGGGACAAAATATTGTTGTAGAAAAAAGCTATCAATGCTCCTCTGATCCCAGGACCTCCGGGACAAGAATCCCGGACTATTTTTTATTTGTCGAACTTTTTGGGAATAAGTCCAATAACAACTGATAAATGCGGACTTATATTTTTTAAGGCCGGAATAAACGACATTTCTGAATAATAAATAACCCGCTTATACAAATTAAGCAAATTTCACATAAAATGAAAGAGGACGGAAATAGTTTCCAAATAAAAATATAATTGATATTATCCACGTAAGTTCTGGTCCAAGCTTTCCTCTATGGTAATTAAATATCATTTTTAAGCGAAATATTTTTCAGTAGGTGGCATTCGCCGTTTAGATATCTCAGTTATAGTGTTATTTCAGTCCTCTTTCTTTTGATATCATATTTTTTTTATTTTGGATAAACGGTTTGGTTATTATTAGGAAAGGACTTTTCTTTTTAAATATAGTTGACCAAGTTTAACTGTTATTACTGGACTAAAAATATAAAAGTCCGGGTTAACCGATTACTTTGTTTCAAAGAAAATAAGAGTCCAAAAGTAACTTTTTTCTAACGACTTTTCTTATAAAAGTAATAAAATTCTGGGTCCCTGAGAAAAATTAAAGGCTGACATCACTGCGGTCAGAGTGGGCAAAGGAGGCAAATTTGGACCACCAATCGGAAAAAGCAGCATTTATGTAAAACCTCTGGCAACAGAGAAAGGGCCTATCGACTTCGTTGCAGCGCGGTACAAGATACCAGTTTTTAAACATCCATAAAGCCACATAGGTGGGCCCTATCAAAGAACGATAAACCAAATTAATCACAATATGGGAGACGGCAGAAAAGATAAGAATTCTTTGAAACGTCAGTTCCAACCGCGGAGCCAACATCGACTCGGATCACTGCCTTGTTGCAGCTACATAGTAAATATCGTCGTTTAAAGTACAAAACCGCGTATGTGAGGTTGCATACATTATTTTGTAGAGAGTAAAAACACTCATATTTCAAAATGGTTCTCTCTGTTATAAAGCAATCGCATTTCTGGCTAGTATATATCAGGACGGATGTGTAGCGTATTTAATTGTAGAATTGTATTTTTAAAAGAATTTTATTTTTATATAATCTTAATTTTAATTTAACGTATTTTAAGTTTCAAAGACGAAAAAATTCTGAAGTAATCAAAAATTTTCTTTTTGATTTACATAAATTGAAAAAGAACTTAATTCAATAATTTCAAAAATAACAAAGTACAAAAATGAACAAAGTACAATAGTAAATAGTATTAACACTACAGATGGATAAGGCTTGGCAAAAAATGTATGTCATATCGTCGCTTGGCGCCAAATGCAATACCACGTATAAGAGAGTCCGAAAATTTCGCAAAAGAGCGTAGAAACTTATTTTCTTCAAAACGATTGAAGGGTTTGCTAACTAAACTTACTAAGTATGAGCTTCTACTATAATTATTTACTACTAAATTTGTGAAGCAGGGAAACATTGAGACATTCCTGTCCTAATATACGACTTTTCTAAGTTCTTCATACTCAACAGTGGACTCTATCTAGGCGACGTTAGTTAGCATGCTTTTCATCCCTCAGAGTCTTGCATGGGTTGATCCCACCGATTTCCTCTATTCAATCTGCATTATATGTGCATGTATTTAAGCTATTATCTAAGAGATTAATTGGCTGGATAATGCAAATTATTAATACTCATCGATTAAAAAGCTGAATTACTATTTAAAATTCTTTTCCACTATCAAAGTTCAATGAAATGTGAGTCATAAAAATTATCTATTTATGATGAGCAAGTAACCCTTCTATTATATAAGTAACGGCCGTTTTTTACATACATTTAGCATTTACTGAATTTGAGTTCAAATGAATTTCACGCTTTATGGCTTCGACCTGTGTGCTACATCCATAGAAATAATGATTTATGTATGTATATGTCTACATACTTACCATAAACTTAATAAATACGAGAATGCTGAGGTAAAGCAACTTGTGCTAAATAAAAAGTAGATTTACGGAGCAAGACAAAGCCCATTTGTAAATAAAAAAAAAATTGAGGCGTTTAGAGTTGGTAAGAATTTAATTGCAGGGTTTAGTAAAATGGCACAAGCGAGGCAAAGCGAGTAGAAAAGCCTTAATGGTAGGTGTGTAAGTCGGGAATTTTCCACTTTTTTACGCAAAAGAAGGGTATTGAACTCAACGATCGATAATTGCCCGTATTAACTTTTGTAATGTCTGCACAATTATGGGTTAAGTGAAAGGCAATGAAGTCCTTATTAAAAAAAAAATCCCAATTACGTGAATGCATCATCACAACGATCGTAAAATACATACATAGAATTTGTCTTTAATTACCGAAAATTGTGTTTATATCCCGAATAGTATAGAATTCGTGGATTCAAGACCTTGATTGATTCTTTCTCAAATCCTGTCTGCACGAACATAAGCATATTTCCAGCACAAATATGTTTTATGAATATCCATTTTATGCTTAAAAATTTCCTAAATTTGTACATAAATATAAGCGTACCTTGTTAGTAGATTTAATTTCATGTGCGATAAAAGCATTAAAGAAAGTTTCTCTCTAAATGGGTACGTCAATAAGTACGTCAACGAATAGGAATTAATCAATTCGACAAATGGACATAACATATCAGTTAAGTATTTAAGGCGAGTTAAAGTTGAAAGTCTTAACGAAAACGTTTATCAAATTCATGTAATCGGTAAATGAGAAATAAAAAGAAATAAAAACACAACAACGCCAAATAGGAAGACATTTATTTCGTGGAGAAAAGGTGAAGTTTTCATGAGTATGTATGTAAATAGACATATATACATTCGTGATGTTAATTAAGTCAACGAAACCCTAAATTTTGTGAGCCTGGGTTTTTGGAAG